CATTATGCCATGATACCTCAAGTTCACTAATTACATGATTAGGTTCCTAAACCCTAATTAGGTTCATTTTTAGGGTTTAATATTTAATTAGTGTATTATGCATAGTCGATCTCACTTAACCACTAGATTAATGTCCTAATTACGTCTTAATGTTAATTTTAACATAGTGACCCTAAATTAATCACATATGGCCGAATTGCTTAGGTGTTTAAATTAGTATTTTTAAGCTTATTTCTTAGTCGTTTCATTAGTTAATTAGTACCTACACTTAATTAATCCACTAATCCATGATTTTCTTATTTTTAACACAACAAATCCATATTATATCAAAGGGGGCAGATTTGGTTAATTATATTTATTAGGGTTTTTAGCCATCTTAATCAAGATTAGTAGGTTTCACTTAAAGATAACCTACTTAATTAATCTTTCTTAGTTCCTCTTAGGATTTTTTCACACTTAATCACTTCATAAAAATTTTTAGTCATCAAACCCTAGATCCCATGACATGGCTGAATCATAGGTGTCTCCTTTAGAGTTCATGTTCATCCTTTTTCATGAAATCCACTCAAGGATCCAAAGGTTGCACCTTTACACATCAAATCAACCATTTCTTGGTTCAAAACTCACAGACTCTCAAGAACAATCATTAAAACCTTTTCTTTTTAAATTTTTTTGGCAACATACACCCCACCCACAACACAAATTCGAGGCATTAAAGTGAGGAGGGGAAGCTTTTTGGATCATCTTTTTCCAAGGTGATGCTTACATCTTCAAGCTCTCACCTTTAGCTCTAAGCTTCAACTTTTACCACCAATAATGCTCCTTTAAACAAGAATATACCTTCAAGAACATGCTCAAGAGTTAGAGCTCATGAACACAAGAGAAAAAGATGATACTTTTCCAGAAAGTTTAAGAAAATTTACACTAGAAATCAAAGGAACCAAGCAACCAAGTGTTGTTCTTCAAGAGAACTCAAGAACACAACTCCATGGTCCTTGAACTCTCAAAAACCATGGCTGTATGGTGGTGTGAGGAAATCGAAAATTTGATCCACACCATGAAAATGGTATGGTTGTGAAGAGGAGGGTGAGGGGAGCAAGTTTGGTGAAGGAGATTTGGTGATTTGGAGAGGTTTTGGAGGTGAAATCTTAGAGAGAAGTGAGAGAAAAGTTTGAAGTTTGAATTTAGAGAGAGAGAAGTGAGAAGGGGGGCTGATTCAGAATGAGGGAGAAGGGGAAGGGTGCCCTAATTAGGGGTGCCATGTCACTTTAGTGACATTTGTCTTTTAGTGAGACTCGGTATAATTTTTATATGAACCGTCGTCAAATTTTTACCCAGAAACCCACAAGACTCTAACTTTAAGTACTTAACATTAATTTTGTCTAATTATCATGTTCATAACTTAAAAATTTGATTAGTAGATCACAGATCCACTAACAGTTGTTTAATTGCACTGTATTTTTTACTTGTGTTCTTAACTGTACCCGGATTTCATAATCTTCTTAACTTTAACATTATTGGTCTAATTATGACTTATTAGGCATATATTAGCCTTTCATTCCATTATTTCATCGTTTTCCCATTCCGGGATTCTACCGGTTGCTGCTACAACAGTACAGAATATCCTATAAAAGTGACTTTTCAGAAATATCCCAATACGGGTATCAATCTTCACCATTTCATATACTAACCTCATTCATGATATCTATATCATTAGACTAGCTCTATAACTCATATTTGTTAGATTGGAGCTATTCTCCAGACTGTTACTGCGTCAATAGTAAAAAAACGACAGCTGAAAATTCAACTGTTCAGAATACCCCCAATATGGGTATCAAACTTCATCAAATGTTATACTTACATCATTTATTATATTCATATCATTAGGATAGCTCTCTAACTTAAATTCACTGTACTTGAGCTATTCTACAGTCTATTACTACGCCAACAGTCAAAAACAGCAGATGAAGATTCACCTGACTGGAATACCCTTAATATGGGTATCTAAATTCTTAGAATTTCATTCTCATTCTATTTATGACCATAAGGTCCTCATTATAACCCTCTAATTTAAAAATCATGTAATTAGGGTTATTATACCAAACATCCTTAAAACATAAGCCAATAAGCTTCAAAGCCCTTTTTACTCATTATGACAAATAGTAACATAGTTTCCAGCCTGGACAGTCCGCACCATTTAATTCACGAAAAATCCATTTCTTATTCGATTTCCCTGAATTTTTAGTATATTATACTAGACACGTGCAGCTTTAATTTGCACCAAACCAAACTTAATTTGGAGTTCTATAATTCTATATATGAATTTTTCAAAAACAGAGCAGATTTGGCTCTTTAGGTTTCATTGATTTTCTTTCAAAACCCTTTACATTTTTCTTTGCTTGAACCTTCAATAAACCAATTTATAACTCTAATTTCATCTTGACATTACAACAATCACTTAGCTTTCGTAATTTTTCATGCATAGGCCTAAGCATATAGGATCCATTAGGTCATCCTATAGTTTGATTTTTAACAATCCAATTGGTTATCTTTAAACAACAACCACCAAAGAATAAAAAATCCATCACTTAGACTTCAAACCACTTCATATAAACATGATAAAAATCCATCAAAATCAGTCTTGTAAACACAAACCCTAAACCAAATATTGAAGGAAACAACCATCAAAAGTTAGGTTTAATACCTTAAATCACTTCAAGAAGACTATATCATCAATTATCCTTCAAACAAGCTTCAAAATCCCTAATTTTTCCTTGATTGCAACTACTAGTCCATGATTTTAAGAGGAGAAAACAAGGCACACAAAGCTTCTTTTAAAGATTAGAAATTAGGATTTTACTCACAAGATGAATAGGAAGATTTTCTCTCAAAGGAACTATGCATTTTTGTGACTAAAAGACCAAGTTCTTGAGCTCTCTTTCCTCCTATGACTTCCACGGTTATGGAGAAGAAATAAGATCAGATTTTGGTCCTTAAAGAGAAACCAAAACCGACCTAGATAGCATAGGAAATATCTAGCACACTTTTTTTTTTGACCTTTTTAAGCTTTATGTAATTATTCTAGACATAAGTATCATAGTTTAAGACTACTTAAAACCCTTAAAATATTCCATAGAATTTAATTATATCATTTAATTAAAGTTCAGACCTAAATTTTGCTTAATTGCAAAATGGTCCCTCTACTTTCACATGATTAAACTTTGACCCCTAAATATTTTAAATATTACTATAAGGGTCGAAATTGACTTGCTTGGCATAAATTATATTTTCATAATTTATTTCATGTCAATCGGATGATTAACAAATCAATTCTAGCTTCCGTAACATATTCACCGTAAAATTACATAATATAACTATGAAATTCCATAATTTCTATACCTATGTAATTATATCCATAATAACCATACATAATCAATTATTAAAAGTTTGGGTTGTTGTATGTTGCAACTAAATCAACAGTTCTCAGATTATTTTCTTATTATTAAGACATGTTTAGTACTTTTGGATACTTAGAAATCTGACAGAACTCATCAAAATGATAGCATAGACGATATTTTCAACTAAAAATAAAATTAGAGAAATTAACAATTAAGTATTTTCAATAATAATGTAAGCCAGTTTCAACATATTACATATCACCCACCAAACTAAAAGCAAGCTTTTGTTAGCATTTTTTTAATCCATATGGTCCACATAACACCACATCGTAGTTTATATACCATATCCGTAAAATTACATTTCGAATCAGAAACTTACGTAACCAATCTTGTTATCTCATCCATATTTTGCGCCATTCCTTATCCTCGAATAGCAAAAACTACCTACCCTCAGTGAAGGCTATTTGACCATGGTGCTCTTTTTTCATTTAAAAAATACCATTTTATCTCCGTTCTAAAATTATATATCAATCTGTTCATATTTGAGCAATATACTCGAGTATATGACCATATACTTAAGTATATCAAGTCTTATAAACATATACTCGAATATATGACTCAGATAGTTGAGTATTTGTTGTTTCTGGGCATGTAATTCCCAATTCTTAAAACATGAAAGTCTCAGATCTTCTACACTCATCTCGAGCCACGCATGCCCTAAACCTCAAAGCCTTATAGCTAAGCTTAGCTGCTAGATATAGAAGTGAAAACCACCCAATTGGGCAACAAAAGTGACTTAAATATAAATAAAAAACAAAAAAATCATGAAACTAACTGCACCTCATTGTTTATTAAGGTCGAGGTGGTAAGCTTTGGGATCCCAACCCCATCCATGTTAAAAAAGAAAAAAATAGTATGAGTGTGCCTTTGGGGTCATATATTCTCTTCACATTATGGTAATCTCTTTCTTTGGCAGTCACTTAAGAAAGCCTAACATCGGGATGGTTACCACTTAAATACAAACAACAACATTATCTGTTCGATTATCTTTCAATATTAATCCATTTTATATTGAATATGGTCATTCCTTTTGTCAATTATTAAATCAGAAGGGCATGCATGTGGGTTTCATGATTATAACTTGGTGCCTTGGTGTGTACTAGCGTTCAGATAACTCTTTATTCACCACTAAATTATTACCTATGTACTATATATATGTGAGTGTACGTAAATTCCTTTATGTTTTTTACTTTTTAGAAGGAAAAAAAAATCATAGTGTATAATTACATAAATACATAACGTAGCATCTCTTGTGCTACATGATATATTGTGATACAGTTTTTGCTTGGTGTGAACCATGACATGGCAGGTATAATATGAAATAAAGAAAAAACTAAACAATGGCACTAACCTGCAAATTCAAACTCAACTTGGGGGTATTTTGAAACAGGGTCTTCTTCAACACGTCATTTTCCACATAAATATATGGAAGTCTTGTTTGTTTTCTCACCAAAGAATCTCATCCTTTCAAGTAGAACATCTCCCTCATCTTAAGAGAACATAGGAGAGAGAGAGAGAGAGAGAGAGAGAGAATTATATAGCGATACCAACATGAATCATCAACCTATCGAAGACCACATGATGCTTTTTTCCCAGCTCTACCCTGATGCATTAACTCAAATAACTCGTCAACAAGGTCAGCCTCCATACTCAAAAACGTTTAACATTTTTCAAGTATTTGTCAGTATCTACGGCATGAAATTGAACACCCTTCTTTAGATTAAATTTTTCATATCTATGCATATTATTCAGGGGTGAAAAAGCCACGACGCAGCCGAAGTAAAAAGAATAAAAGAGGAGAAAATGGGGCTGTGGGCGCCATCAAGAAGAGAAAGCTCACTTTAGAGCAAGCTAATATTCTTGAGCAAAACTTCGGCAGTGAGCATAAACTTGAGTCTAAAAGGAAGGACCGGCTCGCATTGGAGCTTGGTTTGGATCCTCAACAAGTTGCAGTGTGGTTTCAAAATAAAAGATCTCGTTGGAAGAACAAAAAATTGGAGGAAGAGTACTCTAATCTCAAAAATGCCCATGAAACAACCACGCTCGAGAAATGCCACCTTGAGACTGAGGTACACCTACTTTTTCATTTTACATATCCATTTTATTATTGCTTTTCATTATATCAAGGTTATTGTTTACAATCCGATAATTTAACCAAGTAACTAACTATATTTTAAAACAGGAGATCGTGTTTAAGTAACCATTCTTGTACTGAAAAAAATTGTTGGGGGAATAAAATAGATGGTGAAAACCATCGCTCTGAGTTTGGATATATCATCTGATTTATTGATTATTCGACTCAAATATTGTAAAACTCATCGTCAAGGCAGTTTCTCTAAAATTATTTTTTTAATTTTCAACACTCGAATTCAAAACCTGTACGGACTTGGTGGCCAAACACAGTTTAAGCTATCTTTTCTTTTCTTTTCTTTTTTCTCGTACAACAATAACGTCAATTTTTGGCAAGCTTAAGCATGCTTCTTCTTCTGGGTTATATTTTATTTAAATAAGTTATCGCCTAGTTTTAATACTGTAAATGTTTAAATGAAGAGAAGCACCGGTAGCCGATTTCTTCAGGGGAATATAAACCCATGAAAGAGTTGGAGGAACTAAAAAAAAGGGAAGGAAAGTTTGTCAAGTTGTTGTCTTTATGATAAGTTAAAGAGAAAGTTATTTAAAATGATGGGTTTTATATATGTCTACGTTGTAGGAAACTTTTAGTGTCATGTTATTCTAATACATTTGATGTGGGTTCCACTAAAAATAAAAATAAAAAATAAAAAACAAAAAACAAGGTGGGACTATTCTTTTTTGTGAGAGTAACATGACTCTACAAAGTTCCTACAAAATGATACGTATAAAACCCTAGAATGATACATTGACAATTGACATGGAACAGCAAACTGCCACCTTTGTATTCAACGAAAGACAGTCTTTCAATCTTAGAGTCCGTACAATATTGTTTGTGGGCTCTAATTGGGCATTGCTCAAGGTCCACTTACAAGAAGGCACGTGCCATGTAAATTTAGAATAATTTATAATTCCTCCTTACGTTAGACCAATAAAATGAAAAAAATAAAATAATATATAATGAAAAATTCAGAAAAAAGGGAAGTAGTAACAATTAACAAAAGAGGTAGTATCAGTGTTTGTCCTATGTGCAAATAAAAATCATAGTAGATCTTTATTCTGAGCATAAAAGAAACCTATATAAGAATTGAAGAAGCTCAAGGCTCCCTTACAAGTTTGGAATGGGTTCAAATACACAGCATTTTTATTTCTGGTTTTGGTAGGAAATTAACCATTGTGGTGTGGCGTCATTGCTGGTAGGTGCTGAAGCTCGAGGAGCAGCTTTTGGAGGCAAAGAAGGAGATTCAACGGCTACTAGATTGTGCTAATAGAGCTCCAAGCAACAGCTTCAGTTCCTCACAGACACAGTCAAAGGAAGCTGTGAACCCACCATTTCTTGGGGAGTTTAGGGTGGAAGAATATGATGATGGTGATATGTTTTACATTCCAGAGATCCCTTACATCAATGGCATGGAATGGATTAATTATATGTCCATGTGAACCACTAGAAACTTAGCATTTTGTAGATAATGCGAATAATCTAATGTAAATTATGTAAATTTGTTTCCTAGGTGATGAGACTTGCAAGCAAGTACCACAAAATATGTGTAGTGATCATGTATGTGTTTCTTTGTATCTTATGAAGTGTAGAAATTTATCTTTAAATTATATTTTTGCCTCTTTTCTATTCCTTATCCTCTTTCTTGTTGGGTTTTCTATTAACACTTTATAGAGCTAGCCGACCTTAGTGATGAGATCCTTTTTTAAAAAATAAAAACAAAAACAAAGACGAAGTCCTATAAAATCAAAGATCAAAAATAAAATATTCGTTGGATAAGCTAGATAGCTAGCCATGTAGTTAACTAGTACATTGAAAAACTAACTTAACTTGTCACTTTATTTTTGCAAGAACCTAAATGATTATTCAAATTTATTTTTTGGAAATGTAATAATAAAGAAATTCCTTATTCACTTTGCATTCTTTTTCAGAGAGCTTTTTCTTGAAAATGATTTTGGCGTTATTGCTAAATAAAGAAAAGATTTTGAAGAATTTTGGTATATTTTCTCAGACTATGAATAAAGAAATTTGGCTATATTGCTAAACAGACTGTAGTTCAATGTTTTTATTTTCAATTGGTATATTTTCATTAATAATTATGAGAATGTTATTTTACTTTTTTTCCATTTTTAAAATTGCAAATAATATAGTGAAAATTTTATTTTCTTGTTTTTATTATTATTTATTTCATAAAATATTGAAAATAAAAAAACGTGACTTTTTTATAATTATTAATAAAAATACACAAACTAAAAAAATAAAAAATAAAATTCAAACGCTACCTAAATTTTCTCAATTTTTTTTACGGCTTCCCTTAGTTATTCGGATGCTGACTAATATTTTTTGCGGGATAGCTAAAACAAAGAATACAATTGGTAATCACAATTATTAATTATTGAGAAGTTGTACTCTAGTGTGCCTCTATTGTCATATTAAATACGATTTTTTTTTACATCAATAACATTATATGTAAATAATTTATTTTTATACTTTATGAGGTTTGCTAACATTTATATATTATATTAAATACTTATAATTATTTAAAAAAATTTAAATATGTCTCGCTACAGTACTTTTTTACTTTTTATTTAATATTTTCTACTCAATTTCCTTAATAAATGTTATAAGAATATTAGTTAGCAAATAGCCAAATACTACTTTTATTAATAGAAGGTTATACTTATCACCAAATAAGTTTATCACTTCTTACCACCAAATCTTAACTGTTGATTTTTGCCAAGATGATTGTTATACTTTATTAAGAATTACTATTTAATAAATTATAACTGTTAGATTTGTTGAGAACTCAGTTCCCTCAAGCTCGGCTAAGCAGCCTTTGTGCGGAAGTCAATCAACAAGATCCTGATCTCGGATCTCGGCAATATCTCGGCCTGAACTTCACCAGGTCGGGCAGTGCAGCGGAAAATCAAAACAAAAACTAGAAGGGAGAGAGAGAGAGAGAGAGAGAGAGAGAGAGAATACAAGCAGTTTTAATGTGGGAATACCTTCTCCAATGAAGAAGTAAAAACCCACGGGACCTAGTCCAGATCAAAAATCCACTATGAAAATAATGGTTACAAAGAATCAAATACACCAATATGGTGGTTAACTCAACCTCTCCAACAATGGTGATAATCAAACCTCCCTAGAGATGTTTCACTCAAACTCTCTCTAGAAATCTCTCAAATACAAAGCATAAAGCTTTGCTCTCAAATCTCAAACAATTTTCTCTCAAATATCAAATCTCTCTCTTCTTAACCTAGCATCCACCCTCAACTAATGAATATATAGAGGAGGTGGAATTTAGGGTTTAGGGTTTAGGGTTTTTAGGAAACCCCTCAATGGGCTTGGGCTTAGTATTGAAGGAGGAAGCCCAACAAATCTCCCCCTCTGACTTCAAAACGTTGGCTTCAGCATCAACCCGGCTCCTTCACAACAATCTTCAAATTTCCTTGCTGGAACCGGCTTCGTCATCATGTCGGACCAATTTTGGTTAGCGTGCACCTTGACGAGTTGGAGCTCTCCACCTTCCACCATATCTCGGATCCAGTGATACCTCACATCAATGTGCTTAGTGCGGGAGTGATAGATCGAATTCTTCGCAAGATGGATTGCGCTTTGATTGTCACAACCCAGCTCGTACTTGTCTTGATCATGGCCGAGTTCCATGAGGAACTTCTTCATCCACAACATCTTTTTGTTTGCCTCAGTAGCGGCAATGTACTCAGCCTCGGTTGTCGATAGTGCAACACACTTCTGAAATCTTGATTGCCAAGAGACAGCTCCTCCGGCAAATCTCATCATGTATCCCGTCGTCGATTTCCTCGAGTCGGAATCTCCCCCTAAATCAGAATCCGAGTAGCCTTGCAACTCGGCTTTCCCTTCTCCAAATCGGAGACATAAGTCGGTCGTACTTCGGAGGTACTTGAAGATCCACTTCACTGCTTCCTAGTGTTCTTTGCCGGGGTTTGACAGATACCGGCTTACCATTCCAACAGCATACGCCAAGTCGGGTCTAGTGTAAACCATTGCATACATCAAGCTTTCGGCGGCGGATTGGTACGGGACCTTCATCATCTCATCTTTGTCTTCATCAGATCTTGGACATTGCTTATGGTTCAGCTTTATGTGTCCGGCTAGGGGGTGCTCACTGTTTTGGCTTTGTCCATGCTGAATCTCTTCAGAATCTTCTAAATATACTTCTCTTGACTCAGCCACAGTAGCTTTTTTTGTCTATATCGGATAATCTTGATTCCGAGAATCTGCTTTGCAGGGCCGAGGTCCTTCATTGCGAAGGATGAGCTCAACGCCTTTTTCAGGGCGGTTATCCTCGATTTTTCTTTCCCTACAATAAGCATGTCGTCAACATATAACAACAATATCAGAAAATCCGGCCTCATACCTCTTCACAAATACACAGTAGTCGGCTTCTGTCTTCTCAAACTTGTGATCAGTCATGAATGATTCAAACTTCTTATACCACTGCCGAGGTGCTTGCTTCAAGCCATAGAGGCTCTTCTTCAACCGACATACCAAGTCTTCTTGGTCTTGAGCTGGTTGCTCCATATATATCTCTTCTTCTAAATCACCGTGAAGAAATGTCGTCTTCACGTCCATTTGTTCTACCTCGAGGTCCATCGAAGCTTCGGACCGAGGACATTTTCACCACAGGAGAAAAAATATCCTCAAAATCTACTTCTTTCTTCTGATTGCAGCCTTTCACTACAATCTGGGCTTTGTATCTCGACTTCTGCCCGTTCTCTTCATTCTTAATCTTGTAGACCCATTTGTTTTTCAGAGCTCGTCTTCCTCCAGGAAACTCGGTCAACTCATAAGTCTGATTCTCGTGCAGAGACTTCATCTCGTCTTGCATTGCCTTTTCCCACTCTTCTTTCTCTGAGCTTGTCATAGCCTCATCATAACTCTGAGGCTCACCGTCTTCAGCAACAACAGTGTATTCATCAGATGGGTATCTTGTAGAGGATCTTCTTTCTCGAGTTGGATATCTCGGTTGTTCTTCAGCTTGAGAACCCGGTTCATCATTTTCATCCCGAATCTCATCATCAACTTGGACCTCAGTGTCTTGGTCATCATCGGCATGTTGCTGGTCATCATCATCTTCATTATTTTCTTGATTTTCTCCCCCTGCTTCAGCTCGGATAGGATGAACGGGTTCTTCACGTCTGACAGTAATCCGGACTTTGGGCTTCGAGATGTCATGAATGTTCTCATCTTCATGAAAAATCACATCTCAGCTTCTCACTATCCTCTTATTGATTGGATCCCAAAGTCGAAACTCGAACTTATATCTCGGTGAACCAAGATAGATGCATTCTTTTGTCTTTGCATCGAGTTTTTCCCTGTCATCTTTAGGGATATGCACGAAAGCACGGCATCCAAAAACTTTCAGTTGATTATAGGCCGTTTTCCGACCTGTCCAGACTTCTTCTGGAATTTCTCCTTCAAGTGGCCGTGATGGTGAGAGATTGATCAAGTCAACAGCAGTTCTGACGGTATCTCCCCATAATGATTTCGATAATCTGGCATTGGATAACATGCTTTGTACCTTCTCTTCAATAGTTCGGTTCATCCTCTCAGCCAGTCCATTCAATTGTGGAGTCTTGGGGGGCGTCTTCTCTAGTCGAATCCCGGCCGCTCTGCAGTATGCATCAAATGGGCCGCAGTACTCACCACCATTATCAAATCGGACCACCTTCTTACCTCGGGCCACGACCAAGTTTTCCTTGGCCAGCTTCCATCTAACACTACCAAAGTAGTTTACTAATCCGGCATCATCAAGTTTGCCTACCGAGATTAGGTCCAATCGCATGTCAGGTACATGCCTCACATCCTTCAACACAAGTCGACATCCGACATCTGTGGTCAGGGTCACATCACCGACACCAACAATCTTGCTAGTCACTTGATTTCCCATCTTCACGACTCCAAAATCACCACCTCGGTAAGAGGAGAAAAAACTTTTGTGTGGAGTAACGTGAAAGGAGGCACCGGAGTCAACAATCCAGGTGCAGTCATCATAGGCAACATTTAAATAATTATCCTCACCTAGGAGGAATATCTCGACATCCGGGTTGACAACCACCACAGTGGTGCTCTTGTCTTCCCTCTTCTTGGGAACAATCTGATCCGGCTTCACAGAGCCCTTCTTCTCATCATTCGGCAGGGTCCAGCAGTATGGCTTCTTATGACCTGTCTTTCTACAGAAAAAGCACTTCAACTCATATCTCGGCTTTGACCGACCTCTGGACTTTCCTCTTCTGTCACGATCTCGACCCCGGCTTTTACTTCTACCCCGGGAGTCCGATTTCCCTATATTCTCTGCAACATTGGCCTAAGACGTGCTCGAAATACCTCGTTCTCTTCTCATGGCTTCTTCGCCCAGGAGGCTGTCTGTCACAACATCCATCTTCAATTTTCCATC